TCACCTATGAACGCATGCATACGTGTGTGCGAGGACACACATGCACGAGGACGTCCACATGCACAAACCCGCTCGGACTGTTCCAGCTGAGGTGCTGTGTGTAATAATACGCTGGTGGGAATGTGCCACTGCACGTTAATTCTCCCTTCACGCTTGCGTTGAGGAACACAGAGCCTCTAATTGATGCTAAACAAACTGCTGACCCAGACTCAGGATGAAGGTCTGTCAATGATGCACACGCAGAAACACACACTCGTACACAAACCGTTAAAAATGTACAATTTGCCCCCAAATTCACGAAAAGTGAATATGCGCAGCTCTTGCTGAACTCATCTGATGTTTCCTCAATTGCCACACACTTAATTTTTTTTTTTTTTTTTGCGTTGTATAAGAGGCTTTATAGGTGCAGAGCTTGAAAGTCATCCGCCACATGCAGAAGAATGAGACGCCTAGGTGGCACGCTGCAATGTCCTTGGGTGGATTTTTTTGGTGGGACATTTGGGAATGTGTGTGTATGCCTGCGTTAGGAGAACCTTCTGGTGGGTGGGGGGCACGAGAAGGTAAACTCCTACTCATCCTTGTCACACACACACAAACACAGGCATACATACACACACGCCGGCCCCTAAAGGAAGCTCCAGGGAGGCACAACGACGCCTTTGTGCGGGCCAGATTTCCCATGTCTCCCTGCTCCAGCACACAGATAGATCATCTCAGTATAGCCTGCTGTATGAAGGGCAAGTGCATGCACGCCGCGGAGAGAGAAAAAAAAAAAAAAAAAAAAAAAAAAAAAAAGGGAGGGAGGGAGGGAGAAAAAGAGTGGGAAAGAAGTCACAACCCAAACCACTTCTTTCCTTTCTCTTTTCACATTTTCCCCTTGTCTCTTGGTCTCCCATGTCTTTCCCCCCTCTCTCTCCCTCCATACCCTCCCCCCTTTTCTCTCCCTCTCTCCGCAGAGGAATCCAGTCTCTCCGTTGGGATTGGAGCTCTTTGAAGGTGATCCAGAACTGTACTGCTCACTGCCTCTGCTGCCGCTGCTCTCCTCCCTACCTCCCTCCTTCCATCTCCCCTCTACCCTCCACCCTCCGCTCCCACCTCTCAGCCCTCAGGGGGCCTGGATCCTGTTCAACCAAGAGCAGCCATGCTCCAAATCCAGGCCTGGGCTTAGCCCTCCTGCCGCAGGCCTCACTGGCTGTCCCACTGCACCACAGAGAGACAAGGCGGGTGGAGGCCCTGGCAAGAGAGAGCAAGGGGGCGGGGCGGGTGGGGGTGGCATAGGAAGAAACTAGGGAGGTGTGTTTGGTCACGTTCACGTTTAACATTTCAGACACCGAGAGATTAGGAGGGAGATGCTGCAAACTCCATCCAAGCAAAAGTTTTTTTTTTCTAAATCCAGCTCCCTCTCTTTCCCAATCATCTCTCTCCTTTTCTCTTTCTCCTTCCACAAAACTGTTTATTTTCCCTTTCATCCTCACACTCCCTCCTTTTTCCATCCCACTTCCCCTTCTCTTCCCTTCCCCTCTCTTCCCTCCATCCCAAGGGCAAGCTCTTCATGGACTCGTCAGACTGGTTTCTTTGGCACACCTCGGACACACAAACACGTTCTTGGGTGCCAACATACACTCCGGCGCATACCTCTTCATTTTAACAGAGGGTCCTTCACTCAATGCCTCCAAGTCGAGCAGGAAAAGACAGAGAATGACAAACAGACAGAGGAAGAAAAAAAAAAAAAAAAAAAAAGAGAGAAGAGAGAAGAGGCAGATAAAGAGAGGGAGTGAACTGTGCATTCCTCTGGCTTGCCTGGCTCGGGAGCACAGGAGACGTGTTGCTGGCTGTTCGGTTTATTATCCCCAAGCCATATGGGTTGGCAAGCTTTTGGGGCGTGGTGGAATACATTTGTGTGTGTGTGTATGTGTCTGTGTGTGTCAGGGTAAGGCCAAAAGTGTGATTGTACTTATTATTATTATGTTTTTTAACACCTATATGTATGTGTCTGTGTGTGTGTTCCAGGCCACAACAACCTGAGGAACCACACTTTCAAGGTTACTGCCACCAATAAAACATAAAGAGCTTCCAGTCCCTCTTAGCTTACACACCAAATACATACCACACATTTATTCACATGCACACACAAGCAAATTTACACAAGCTGGTAATTTCAGCTATTTGTGACATAAATGGTTTAATTGCCACTTAACTGTAATCACATGATGGTATGGTACCATGCAGGGTGTTTTGATACGGCTCCATTTGATATTAAAGGACAATTGAGGTTTATTGGAACCTGCGTCTGTTTTCGTAGTTGATATTGTTCATGGTAACTTTATACTCACAAAAGTAAGTAAACTCTGGGAACACAGCGACGACGATACGACAAAAGTCCAACGGGGCAAAAACACACTTCGTGGTCAGACGATCCGACAGGTTGTGAACAAGCACAGAGTTTAGCCAGATTAACTAAAGCCACCTTATGTGGAGGTAAAACCCAAAGCGAGTGCACCAGGAAAGTCAATAATAATTCCTCTGTATGCATGTACAAGTACAATATGTAACAGAGCACAACGCTAACAATCTCACCTGTATATCATTACCCAGCTGCTATGTGTTTTAAGTTTGATTCTATTAATTTAGTTGTGTGTCTGCATCTGTATTTGCCTCTAAACTTGTTCTTTACACTTTGTGTGAGTGCAGTAAGAATTACTGAGAACCAGAGCCAAATGCCTTGTATATATCAACATAATTGGCCAATAAAAGTTGATTCTGATTCTGATAAATACTGTATGTTGGTCAAAGTTGAAGATGACTGTAAACTGCGATGGATGCTTACGACGGACAGTTTCGGTAATAGTTTTACTGTCCACCTTCGTGCTCTCGTCCGAGTTGGGTATTTGTTTAAAAAGTGTATGATTATCTTACCGCCTGTACTTGCTGCCCCATTGGACTTTTTTAACCCATGTTGCCATTTTCCTTAACCCCTTCTTTTAAAAATAACATTTATATACAGCAAATTTGCAACACATGTTTTGAAGGCATCAGTGGTCTGTTAACATAATGAGGAAATGTTAATTAACGTATCAAGCGAGAATGTCAGGAGAATGTTAATTCCTCTAAAATATTAGATCCTGCAGTACAATAACTGCACAGGAATATTAAACTTTTTATGGTTGTGGTCTAGTTTAATATAAAAAAATAAAAAGTCATCACTGACTTGAACTGAAACCACAATCTTTCCCTAACCTTAACCAAAGAGCTTTTGTTCCCTAAACTCAACCACATTCAGAAGTCTGGAAGTGAACTCCGGTCTCTGAGGTCATATTCCTGCAGTTGGTATCCTCCCAATCCACTCGGATCATCTCTCTGCGACTCTGGTGCGGTACATTAATGTGGTGTTTCATTCACTCAAAGAAAAGTTGTCTCTGAACATATTCCAGGCAGTAATTGTTTCTTTTTGTTTTTGTTTTTTTTTAATCATAACATTACTGGTAAAACAATTTAGTAATATATAAACATAATTCCTCGGTGACCGGGTTAGTATTCCCAGATCTCAGCTATTAACTCGGTGACTACAGCGTTATTACTCCCGATGGGCAAAGTTAAGACTCAAGTTGTAATGACCTGGAGCTATCCTTTAAATTTAACAGCCAATCAGCAGCTCCATAAGCACATTCTTTATTTTCTGCATTCCTCAGTTATTTCCTACATCCGTTGAATTTCTTCTGACGCTGTTACTTTCATTTTAATCACCTTTTTCTGGCCTCTCCCTGTTCTGCCCCTTCAACGTCACAAGGGTCAGAAGCGGTGTGTGTTCACAGTGTGTGCCCGAGCGGGACTGGTGCTGGAGGTGTGTGTCTTGTGAGTGTGCGTGTGTGTGTGTGCGTGTGTGTCTGTGTGTGTGTGCGTGTGTGTGTGCGTGTGTATCTGTGTGTGTGCGTGCGTGCATGGAAGGAGCAAGCTATCTATAGCCTGTGTATCCCTGGGGATTTGAGTCTTAAACTCCATATTCATGACACATCACTGTGGGGATTAGAAGGGCATCATCAGATAGAGGGGCTTACGTCAGCGGGCACACACACACACACACACACACACACACACACACACACACACACACACACACACACACACACGGACACAGAAAATAACAGACGCACACTCTCAGCAGCAGTCTCACCCTGGAAAGCACAGCATTTACACTTTCAAGGAAGTTCTGTACTTCTTTCTGAAGGGAAGCGCTTTTCTTCTCTCTTCCATGCATCCATGTTACTGAACCAAAGAAAAGACAGGAGAAAAACACACTCTGCTATTACAACTGGTGTGTTACAGCAGAGCAGCCAGGATGATTGCTTTGTATCACTAACCCGAAAAGTTCAGTGTTAATTTGAGCAGTGATTATTTGCCTATTTGAAACTAACAGCCTCCAGTGTTCGCCTAGCACTGCCAATGCAAACACTTTGACTTGGACCAGGGAGTGCAAATTGTTGAGACGAGAACAAATCAAAATGTGTGAGCTGGAGTTGGAAGTGGAGGGGTGTGCAGGGGGTTGATTAAGGCCAAACCACGTGGAAGCGGATCTGTCGGGGAGATGCAGAGGGTGGGGGTGTTAGCATAGGCAGCATGGATCTGTGTTGTGATTTGTTTGTTCATGGCTGGCTGTGTGCATCTATGTGTGTGTGTGTGTGTGTGTGTATGTGTGTGTGTTCTTATCTGCTCCACGCCACAGCAGCAGGAGCATCAGAGGAAGCACGGCCTTTCCTTCCTGTGCCTTTCACACTGTCACAACACACATGAGCCATAAAACTTGGTGGCTCTGTCCAACATATAGAGAGAGAGAGACAGACAGAGAGAGAGAGAGAGAGAGAGAGAGAGAGAGAGAGAGAGAGGGAGAGAGAGATAGAGAGAGAGAGTGGTTAGCTTGTAGGCGTAGAACATGTGTGTGTGATTTTGCGGCGTACAGCACATACCATCTAATTGACACCATCTCCTTCTTCTGTTTGGCACAGAGATGTTTTCTGCTGGGAGGGAAACAAGGAGATATTGAGGGCGAGGTTCATGACACAGCTGAGGTGAGTGGAGGAGGAAAAGTGGCCTCGCAGCAGTTAAGGGTACTGGGACAGTGGATGTTCAGTATGGGCTGGTGCCCTCCACGGGGGAGCTGAGGAAGGACACCTCTCTACCCTGCATTCTGCACCTGAGTCTGGCAGGCAGCCATTCCCCGCGCTTCCCCGTTTCACCCTGCGCTATCCCTCCGCTGCTCAACAGCACCTCAGCTTCCCTCAGTCGTCAGTCTCGGAGCTGTCAGCAGCGCCATCATTCACAGGCTGGGATACACAGTCGAGCCAGGGAGGCCCACTTACTCTGTTTGCCTGAATAATACTGTATTATCAAGGAGATTGGATGGATGATTGCGATTGCCTTTCAATGAATAGATAATAAAACTAGCTTGCATGCTTAAAAAAGATTGAGAGAGAACTCCTTCATTTACACAAGTTCATGAAACAGTCTATAAAATCTTACTCAGTTTCCTGCAGCAGAATACAGCAGAGATGCGCCGCCTCACCTATTATTACTTTCATGAAATAAAACATTAACCTGGACGATGAGCGAGCTGTATTACCTCTGTTTACTGTTTCGTCACTAACCAGTTTCCTGTGGAAAAAGCCTGTTAGCAGTGAACGACCTTTACATTCGCTTCATCATCATGTTATTTGACATATCACAGCACATGACACAATATCATGTGAACGTTCCCAATTTTGTCAGATTTCAGACGTGCGCCGATCCCTCGTCTACATTTACAAATGCTGTCATAAAAAAAAAAACTTTTACGAGTGACCATTCCCAGCTTGTCATTAAATAAATGTAGTGTATTAAAAATGGTTTTCAGTCACAACCGAGTGTCTCATACTCAGTGTGATTACTGTGTCAGCGGAAAAACTGTTTTGACATTGCGCTTTTATAACAATAAGAGGATAAAAATGAGCACATATCGAGCTAAACTCACCTACGGTAGCTTTGAAAATGTATTCACTTAAAAACACTACACTCTCTCTATTTTTGTTAATTATTGATTATGATTGATTGATTGATTTAAATATCAAATTCTCCCCACATGTACACAAAAGTTTGTAGGTTGCTCCTTTGTCGAGGAGAGCAGGTGTGGTCAGCTGCAGGTACCATGAACTCCAAAGGGAAAATGCAGCAACGGATAAAAACTTATGAAAGCTTATGAAAACCCTTAAACTTAAATTGTCTCCTGAAGCATAGTCCACTTATCCGCCATTGACCTGTACGTTCCGTCTCTTTCAAACAATCCTTGCTTCGCAGATAAACAGAAATGTAGTTCATATTTCTGACCTTTTCCGCAAACACAATGTTCACAAAACCTTCCCAAAACTACCAGACACTACCACTAAACAAGAAGGTGCTGGACGCAACAACAACAAAAAAAAGATCAAAGCATACACACACTTACATCCCTTATATATACTTTCAGACACAAACGCCTACAAAGGGAACAGCTATGAATGAATGAGATGAATACATTAGTCTGAACATGACAAAAACTCCAAATAGGATACATTAGGTTGAATAAAAAAAAGCTGTGTCCTCATTATATTTTCAGGCCAATCACATGTGACGGGATCAACCCACTCATCCACAGAAAGACTTGACTCAACGTTTTTTGAGTATATAAGCTACATGAGAAGCCTTCACAGGAATTCATTGAAAGCCACATAGAGAAGAAGAACACAGTATCCAGTTGTTTTAACACATTCATTATGAAGAGGCCATAGCACGGCAATCCCATGACAGCAAAAGGAACACCTTCCTAACCAATATGCTACTTACAAAATATACAAATTGTTTTTACGCAATATACCGGCATTAACAAATCCAAACACACACTGTAAAACAGTGGGAAACAGGGATGTGTATATAAATGTGTACACAGGTGGCGGTGTGTGTGTACGCACATGTGTACATACACAGAACACTCTCTTTCCATAGAGTCCTGAGGTGGGAACGGTGCCAAACCAACACTTCATTTCAATTTCAAATCTGAGGCCTGACTTTGACCTTTCAGCACAAAACTAGTTACGGACTCACTCTCAGTTCGTCTCTCTCTCTCTCTCTCTCTCTCTCTCTCTCCCCCCTCGCCTGTTATGCTGCTCGTCAACACACACATGCTCCTCGCCTTCATCCTGTCCGCAATGTTAATCTGCATTTTATTTTTCTTTCCCTTTCATTTCTGCATATATGCCGCGTCTTCTAACGACTTCTTCAGTGTCCCCCATCAGTACCCGTAAGTGACTTGTACAGCTCATTCTTTGTCGCTTCCTGTTTCCTTCAGCCTTCCTGTATCTGTGAGTTCTGTGGAATGACACCTTTCATCATTATGGGACATTGACACATCTTTTGTCGCAAAAATGTGACAGCATTCCTCTGTGCTGTTAAACCGTCAACACTGATTGTGTGAAAAAGAGGAAGAACAGAGGTAGGAGGGAAAGTGAGAAAAGTGAGAAAAAAGGGTGTGGGTAGAGCAATGAGCATGCAACTAGTAAGGTCACAATTTAGAAATAATTGCATGAGGAGCCAAAGTCAGACTTATGTTCACTGTCTTTTCAAAACTAATGCCACTACTGATGACAAAGATCATTGTAGGTATAACTTTAGGAAACCTTAGTTTATTTCGGGATGTGATAGTGACATAACCGGTGACGTAAGAGCATCAGTAGTATCTGAGAATGAGATTTACAATCATTTTATAAGTTTTCTGATCACCAAATGGCAGTTACACAACACTAGTGATGGAGAGGGAGGGTGTGTTGCTCTAAGCCAGAGGAAGGGTGTGTGAGTGTAAAATAACACCAAAAAACTAAACCAAAGGAAGAGAGGAGATGGAGAAAAAGAGTGGGAGGAAAATGGGAGATGGAGAGGGGGTACCCAGGCGGGTGTTCCAAAAACCTGTCAAGGCATTTCCTTCTGCAAACACAAAATTTGTGGGACTGTACAGTAGAGGCGTGCCGACACTCACACATACATAAAATCCGGCATATTACGCTGAAAATACACAGCAGTGGTCAACAGTGCAACTTTGATTTAACGTATTCTTTGATTGGGTAGGTCTAAAGCCAACTCCTGCGCAGCAGTGTCCGCTGGAGGCAGCTGTACGAACACACACACACACACACACACGCAAACATACACACACACCAACTTAATGAGCCATTCAATACCCCCACAAGACTCCAGACTTTGTGAGCCTCCTCACCAGCGTCAAAGTCCCTCGGTATCTCATTCCTTGAACACCCCCACTCCAGATACACTCAGTCACACACACATACAATTCCTCCGTTTGGTAAATGTCTCGTCACTCCTAATTCCACCACGCATATGCCTTCATGCTCTCACATAAATATGTACACACCTACGCACACACAGACACACACTATGTCCCACTGCTCTCCTTCTACGCCAGCTGCAGTCCACCCAATGTGTTTACATAGTCTGCTGAACCACGACGGGGAGAGGGAGGGGGAGAGGGAGGGGGAGAGAGAGAGAGAGAGAGAGAGAGAGACGAGAGAGAGAGAGAGAGAGAGTGGATGGACGGACCAGGGCTGTTTGTCTGAAGGGGCTTTCCTGTTCTCAAAGGAAATGGTAAAAGAGGGGGATACCAGGAGCAGGAGAGGCAAAAGCAAGATGAAAATAAATGAGACAACAAAAAAAAATAGATCTTATGAGAGTGAGACCAGGAGAACGAGGAGAGGGAGACGGACAGACGGTAGCAAAGAACGCGTCATGGATGTAAACATCCGTCCTGTTGTTCAGATAAACCACAATACAGCGAGCGCAGGACTGGGAATCATGATCTCCTCTCCCTCTGCCGCCGCTTCCAAACACACAAACACACACACACTTCCCACTGCAAGTTATGTCACAGATTAGACTGTTATGCAAACCTACAGTGTTATCACAGCGATGTTGCATTTTGGTTTTGCCACCTGTGGTTGTTGACTCACAAGCTCAAGCTCAGTGTGGATTGTGGTCACGGGTGTCTCGACCTTTCCCACCCATTTTTAAATTTTTTTTTTTTTTTTTTTTTTTTTTAAAATCAAATCCACACACACGAGTGGATGTAAATGATATAACTATGGTGTGTGCGTTATCTTGTTGCAGTGCCATGATGTGCCGCCAGTGTGGTAATGTGGGGTGGGTCTGTGGTGCTGTAGTTTTGTGCCTCCTGGTCATGGATGGGGTTAACAGCATCTGCCACAGCTGGCGGTCTAGACCCAATGACTCAAAATGTGTGTGTCCATGTACGTGTTTGATGATGGTGGTGGTGGTGGAGGGAAGTAAACAACCATGAATCACTTAATATTGAGCCAAAGCTGCTAATTACTCCCCAGTATCCTCAGGTGAAGACAGCAAGAGTGAAAAACTAGCTTTTCTGACATTTTCATGCCCTCTTGTTTCCCCTCGCTCTTTGATTTTGCCATCAGATTTCCTCTTTCACCTTCCCCAGAGAGTAGCATCTGTCAGAGGAAGGCCTCTTATGTTGGGTGAATCAAGACAGGACTCCTCCAATAAGACAGTTAGTGTTGGGTTATGCTCGAATTGAACTAATTCTTCCTATGTGTTGGAAATCAAAAGTGTTTATAACTGTTCTGAACGTCCACACTGGAAGGTGGAGCGTAAAGCTGACCGTCATAGAGAGTCACCTGGAAGCCGTTTACAGTGTTGTGCTCAGTTGTTCACATGAAAAGTGAACAACAAAAATAGCTGTGTAAAGAATGGAAAAAAAAAAAAAAGGGGAAAAAAGAAAACCGTGCTAGAGACAGAAGTTCAAATCCTGTTTACTCTCTCACACCCACACAACTGAACAGTCACGGCGTGAAGTGGGTGCAAATGAAAAATTGTTAGTTTCACATTGAAAAGGTGTGGGGAGTTTCCGAAACTATTCCACCACTAGGAAAGCACTAATACTGTCATCTTAAGTGTTATTTAAGTTTATGCATTTGTAGTTCTTCAGTTACTTGTTCACCAAGTTGAATGGTGAAGTAGCAACAGCAAACACACAGAGTCCTGCTGCAGGTATGTAACCGGCTAAATCATTTGTATACATTTCAATGTATGTGTAAAAATGAATTAGATGCAGGCGGACCCTGGGTGTAATAAAGACCAGAAATTTCAAACTTAATCTTTACAAGCATCATTGTTTTGAATTTGAACTAATTAATCGTGGTCAACAGTGTATCTAATTTTATGTATGCGCTATTAAATGTCCGCTCAGTCTAGTTAACACGTTTCTTTGTCGGCCAAACTCACAAACACAGCACTTTAAACTGAGTAAATGTCTATAGGTGTCAGTAGGCTTCAAACGAAACAACGTCTTGGTTTGGGTACAGAGATTTTGAAGGTTGGAGG